TGAGAAATTTATCTGAGAACCCAGCCCAAGTGTTGTGATTTCCTTTGGCTACATATTCTGAGTTTACATTTTGGTCATTGAACTTAATCTCCACTTTCTTTTAAAAGCATAGTTCCAATGTGATTAGGGGGAAGGGAATGTTTAGATAAGTAGATTGCTAATGTAGGTTTTGATGTCAAGGAGGCAGAACCTGTGGACATAATGGGTGGAGCTTTGAGCAAGTAAGAGTCTCATTTTGCTTGTCCAGGAACCTGTTGCTGTTGGAAGAGAAGCAGGAAGAATAGTAACAGAACAGTTTCCCAGCTGTTGAGAAGATAGTTTTGATCTAGAATAAGTAGACTGTTGGCTGAGCAGAGTAAACCCACATCTGAGAATTAGGAAAGAAGCATGGCTAGTGTGAAACAAGAAATTATGCTTCAATCTGACTTTGATGTCTGTCTTGCTTATGCTGTGGGCTAATTTACTCCGTTAATTTACATCTTATCCATTTCCCCTCTTATTTTCCTGTAACTATAACAAGTCTATTTTGCCTTTTCTCATGGATTTTACAAAGAAAGATTTTTGCTCAGTGTTTGTCATTGTAAATTCTCATTGCTGCTGCCGCCCTCAAAAGGATTGTGTAAATGAGGTAGGTAAGAATTTCCAATATATACAAAAGGTGGTATATTATAGTCCTTTGGTGATAAGTATAGAAAGTTTCAGTTAAAGTATTGAAATTGTTTATTTCAGAATGCTTTTTAAAATATTTAAAGTTTTGTAACTTAGACTACATTTTGTGTGAAGGGGAGAAAAAGGCTTTTCTCAATTCAGAATGGTTAAGAGATGTTTTATTTTTATGAGAGGGTAGTTAAATGTTACTTTAACACATTTGAAACTTAAGCTTTTAAGAAGCAAGTACTGACGGTTTTTAATAGCTAGAAATTGAACCAAAAGAATACTATATTATGACTCACTTTTATTTTTCTAGCAGATTATTTGGCAAACCGTAAGTATATAGAATTCAAAGAAAAACTATAAGATGCATGTACATGTTTTTTGGTTTTTCTTGGTTCAAATAAAGGAACATTTTATAAACATTTATCTTATATTGGTGTGCCTTTGTGGAGTCACAATTTTTTTTCCACTCCGTTTAAGATTCCACAAAAGTAGCCTTCATTTTTTGTTTTAAGAGAATACATAATTTTGTATAACTCCAAAAGTATCTTAAATAGATATACATTAGATGATCAAGTAGTTTTGTTAATTGCAGAGAAACATGTTACTGTACCATGTCAAAAAACATAATGTGGTACTACTGCCTAAAGAGAGATTCTGTGGATTACAGAAGTAGGCAGAATTATTTCTAGAGCCAGTAGTAGGTTGCTAGCTCTGGAAGAAAGAGTAAGAGAGTATGTGCCTTTATTCATTTTTCTTATACATAAAATATTAGCCCAACTTAATCTACATTAGTTCTCTGCTTTGTTTTTCTGTTTTTGAACCTCATTCAGAATAGGTGAGCAAAACTTTGTTTTTACTGGTCAGAACAAGACTAGAATAGGACTGTGTGGGATTAAATAAGGAAGTAAAGAAAAAGGGATGACATTTGGCTATAAGTGGATCATCGTTGAAGTATGTGAACTAAAAGGAAAAAAGATGAAATCTTTTATTATTAAAACATGTTCTCATTATTTGTTCTGTCTGGTGCTTAAAATCATGTTTTAGAATAACCTTGACCAACTTTTTTAATTAAAAAATTATCAGTTACAAAAAATATTTAAAAATACATCGTTTTCTTATCTCTTAAGAACAAGAAGCCTATGAGTATGATGTGTATATCAAATCTGTACTTGTTTATTTTAAGCAGCTTTCTATTATATGTCCCAGATGACTTTTCCATAGGTCACTTTAAGGGTCAGTGCAGTTTCATACCCATTTTTACATTTTGGGGGTAATTTTTAATATACGATATCTGTATATTCTTCTATCTTCTGAAATGATTGAGAATACTTCTTCTAGATATTTTGATAATCCTGACTTCTTGATAGTAGCTGACTGGTGAAATTTCTTTTTACGTTTTTAATTTTCTGAAATGAGTAACAGTAAGAGCAGCCTTAATCTTTTACCAGCTGCTAGACTGGTAATGTGTGTCTCCATTTTATTGGCTACTTTGGCACCTGCAATATGTTTTTTAAGGCAGCAGTGATATCTAAACATGTAGAGTTTTACTGCCAGAAGGCCAAACTATATTCCCTTAAATGTATGTTTTATGTAACATTGGTATGAAATTTTCTATACCTAAATCTTCGCTATCGGTTGAGAAAAAATAGCTTAACTTAGTAGATTCACGGCATTATATGATGCACAGTTGCTGGTTTTCCTATTATATCTCAATATGTTCAAGTAGTATTTCTTTGTAAATAGGAATTCATAAAGTCGTGAATGTATAGGATTAACAAGAGCATTATTTATTGTTAAGGATAACCAAGGATGAACCAGGTTTACTATGGAGCTTGGTGATTATTTTTCAAGAGAATTCTTTGCTTTCTTTTAACCCTAAGCTTTATTATCTTTGGTGTTTGCCTTTGAACTCAAAAGTGGCCTTAGGTCAGCAAACTTTGAATTCAGAGAACTTTCAACCTAGATAGTACATTTGATTGTTGCTGCTGTGAATATAGATAGGTAATTACCGTTGGACAGGTATTACCCCCATTTGCTACTCAGGGAATCTGAAACTCAACTGTTTATATTTCTCTATTTCACACTGAATTCAAGTTTTCTGTTGAATCTTTTCATCTTTCCAATATGCCTATGCTAAATTGAAACAGAAGAGTCTTTTAATATAATCAATGTATGTGTGCTTTACTAACTTAATATATGTAGAGTTTTACTGCCAGAAGGCCAAACTACATTCTCCTAAAATGTGTTTATGGAAGAATGAGCATTTTTCTAGTCATATTGTATATTCTCTTCAGCTACTTTTCTGTAACATTTGTAATGTTTTTACATGCAAAGGCCAACATTGTATTAGGGTCCAGTTTTACCAGAAAACAGGCTTTCAGATAATTTTCTGCCAATCCTGAATGTTCTACGAATTTAATATACAGTATTTTAAATTGTTCTTACTGTTAACTTATAAATAGCATTTTAAAAAATTGCTTTTATACAGTTTTACGTTTACTGTAGAAAATGATAAACAAATATAAAACAAAATCTCCAGTGTTTTTATTACCTGAGAACTTTTAGAGTACATCATCTTTTTTTTTACCTTAAACAGTTCCTATTTTCTTAAGCCTTATACCATACCATCTTGCTCAATTAAAGCAGCCTTTTGCTTTAGCAGCATTATTTTCTTGTTTTCATTAGAAGAATTGTGTGAAATCAAAGACCAGTTGGAAAAATTAATTTGCTGGATTTGAAAGTTAAGAAGACTGAGGAAAATACAAATTGTGATCTTTGTAGTCATTAGTCAGAAATGAACTTAAATGCATTGATTTAACTTTCGTGTCAGACCTACTAGACAGTTCCTTGCTGTGGAAGATTAGCCCTAGAGGTAGAATCCTCCAAATTAGGACTTTTGAATAATGCAGTGAGTAATAATGAGACTTATCCCACCACAAATCTAGTATTTAAAGACTTTTTAGAGCTAACCTTTTGATGTACAGTTGACCCTTGAACAACACAGATTTGAACTGCGCAGATCCACTTATACGTGGTTTTTTTCCGATAAGTATATACAGTACTGTAAATGTATTTTCTCTTCCTTAAATGATTTTCTTAATAACATTTTCTCTTCTCTAGCTTACTTTATTGTAAGAATACAGTAATATATATATATAACATACAAAATATTTGTTAATCAACTGTTTATATTATTGGTAAGGTCAATAGTAGGCGATTAGTTGTTAAGTTTTTTGGAGAGTAAAAAGTTACAAGCAGATTTTCAACTGCTCGGCAGGTGGGGTTGGTACTCCTAACTCTCATGTTGTTCAAGGGTCAACTGTATTTCAGTTCTTTCTATGAGATATTACATGAATTTCTGTGATTTATCAAATTATCACTAATTTTGATTTAATATATCTTGTCAATCATGATTAGAATTTATATTCTGACTTTTCTAATTCCTCTGCCCTTTTCCCCAATTCTTGTGTTTTGTGTGTTTATAAATTTATGGCACTACTTGAACACTGTCTCAGTATAGCTACTTCAACTCAATTCATGTGATTACATAGGTGAAGTGGGAATTTGATAATGAGATGGTTTTTTCTATATCACTTCTCAGATAGGGATATTCTGTCACTCTTATAACTTATGTATATTTTCCACACATTGCTAAAATTTTTATTTGCAAAGAATTTATACTTTTATGAAGATTCTTAAATATCACTGTGATGCTATTTAGTATTATATATAATAGTAGTATTGAGTTTTCTTCTGAAACTAATTTGTCTTTAATATGGGTCTGATATATCACTTTTCATTTTATGTTTCATATGTAAGACAGTTTGCTCTTCAGTTTATCATGCCAAACCAATCCAAATCCTTAACTCCTTGCTGAGTTTGTTAAAGGGTACTGTAATAATAGAGTACCTGCCAAACTAAGCGTGCATTCATGCCCACACTTGAGTTCACTGTTCACAATAGTTAAATGCTGTGTTGATTAATGTGTTAGGGAATAAGGTTGAACAAAAGATATTCTAACCAACTAACATTTAGCTTTCCTTTTAGCCAATAATTCCCTTTACCTGAAATACAGCAGATGTTGACAATAGCCTAAATTTTTCCTTATCCACATGTAGAGGCCATGGAAGTAAGTGACCTTACTACCTAACCGGTCCTTTTTATTTTCTTGTGGAAGCTTAATTGTCACTACCCAGCTGTGAGCTTGCATGAACCAGCTCCTGCAGACAAATCAGAAAAAAAGCCAGGTTAATAAGAAGGCAATCTAAGAGTCAGCTGAAAGTCAAAGTTCAAAGGTCCTGTCTTCATTAATATGTTTTTGTCACTGTTTTTATGGTTTTCAGGGAGTGAAACCAGCCAGTTTTGACAAAGTAGCAATTCCTGAAGTGAAGGAAATTATTGAAGGTTGCATTCGGCAAAACAAAGATGAAAGGTAAGTTGCCTCTTTTGACCTGTTGATTAAGCAAAAACCTAAAATAGAACATGCTCTAAATACAACACTAAATCTAAGGTGTATTTAATACTTTACTTGTGATTAGTTTATCCATTTATGTCATGTGATATCTTTAAAAATAGAATTCTATCCATTGAAGGTAATATTCAGATTTGATATACTGGAATGTTGTAAAAATGTGGTTTGGTAGAGTTTAAACCAGAACTACTTTAAACATAGCTACTACATTCAATGAGGACTACTCACTTAAAGCATCAACATGATTTATAAAACTCAGTAGGGTTCAATCTCTCTCTAACACAGCATATCTGTGTTAGTATTTTATCCATTGAATTCTAAAAGGTGGATTAAAATTTTGGTTCTTTAAAATAGGCTCAACTATACAGGTCTTGATTTGCTTTTATTATGCCAGAATTGAAGAAGAGCAAAACATCAAAATTCCTTTGAGTAAAAAGAGACGACTTCGCCCAAAGCTTAGGAGGAGATCTGGCTTAGTCATTTGTACTAACAGAGGGCTTTTCTCAAAGGAGTGGCAGGTATCTGATCTGCCATATAGCTGATTCATCACCCGTTAGGCATGGCAAAATTCCAATGTCTGTTTTTGAAAAATAATCTACCTTCACCGTTTGCCTCACCCTCCAAAAAAGAAAAAGTAGATCAGCTAATACAAATATAAATTGTAAGTTGAGCATAGTCTACTTTCTGAAGAATGTGGGCAATCAAGTATATCAACCAAATTAAAGAATTTCCTATCTTCACTTCTCCAGTCACATACTCTTTTCATAACTTTGTTATTTGGAAGCACTTAACATCATGATCTTTAAGGCTTTTTAGTAGAAATTTAGTTTGAGTTTCTATTTTTATTTACACTGATAGGAAAGGAGAGTCCTTGATCTCTTTAAGAACTTTTTTTTACTATAATCAAAGGAATATTTGTTTCCAGTCTTTTCTTATTTCTTTTCTGGATGGAACAGTTTATTAGATTACTGGTATTTGAGACCGTTTATCTAAAGAAGATTGTTCTACAATCAGACTTTTGCTTGCCTAGTACACAAATTATTGAACAAGGAATTAAGAGAATTTGGGGTGGTAAATTAAGGCTATAGTAGAATTTGAAATCAAAAGATTTATTTTCGAGTTTTGATTCCACCATTTATGACTTTTATAACTATGAGCAAGATTTTCAAGCTCTCTTAACCTCCATTTTCTAATACTTAGGATATCTCATTGGATGTTGATTAAGGATCCGATGAAATCATATATATAAGGCTTTTTATTAACTATAAATGATGATGTGGTATTTTGAAGCTATGATAATTTTAGTATTGCTAGTGATAGTACATTATTAACTAATATGAAATTAGATCATTAGATTTAAAAAGTATCACTTTTAATTCTCATAAATGAGATTGTTACGAAGTTCTGTAACTTAAGAGTAAAACAATAATCACTATTTAAATGGAACAAGTAGAAATGAATTATAAAATTTTCTTTATTTTCTTTTCATAGTCCTTTTTCATTATTCCAAGCATAATTATAATCAGCCACACTTGAAAATGATCTTTTCAACCTAATGGCATTTTGTTTTGTTTTTTTTTTCCCCTCCTCTTTGGAAGATACTCCATCAAAGACCTTTTGAACCATGCCTTCTTCCAGGAGGAAACAGGGGTGCGGGTAGAATTAGCAGAAGAAGATGATGGAGAAAAGATAGCCATTAAATTATGGCTACGTATTGAAGATATTAAGAAATTAAAGGGAAAATACAAAGACAATGAAGCTATTGAGTTTTCCTTTGACCTGGACAGGGATGTGCCAGAAGATGTTGCTCAAGAAATGGTAAATTATTAATCAGCCATTTAACAATTGCTATAGGTTTATATACATTGATATTGTTGAGTGAAAAGTAGTTTATAAAGCAGTGTGTTGGCATATCCCATTGATAAAAAATTGTGTTGATTAACAGCCCAAAAAGTATTTTTATTTGAGGAAAAGGTATATAGACTTAGATATGTATAGGTATGGATGAATGGGTGGATAGAATAGAGTAAAATATAAAGATGGAGAGAGAGAAGAAAGAACAAACTAGAATGCATTCTTAATTAATTTTGAAAGTCTGCGATGTTGAATGACTCCTAATTTGTTTAAGTCTATTTCTGTTAGAATGACAAGCTATGTTTTCTAAATATTAATACATTAGCCTTGATTCAGTCATCTGGATGAACCCTATAAATAGATCATAAATTGCTTTTACTTTGAAAAGGGTTTTCAAGATAAATTATTAGTAGGCAGCCTTTGGTGAATCATTTTTTGAAGTATTTCTAAAAGATCGCTTTTCAAAAAGGAAGCAATTTTAGGTTTGCCATAGTGCCTAAAATAGCCATTTCCTATGCAGAGATACTCACAGAATATCTCTACTAGAATTTCTAAGAACCGTTCAATAGTAGTTGCCTTTGAGAATGAGTCAAGTATGAAATAGATATTTATTTATTTTAGTTTTTTCATGCTGTTTGAAGTGTTTTGTTTTTTTTAACCTTTATATATTTACCACAGTTGTTTTATCTGGTTAACTGGTTGCCTAGTGAAAGGAAGTAAAAGCAACACAGGTTAATATTAGTGGTTACACATGAGTGGGAAATAGAATGAATAGAGTAGAATGAGCCTTATTTGGTTTAAAAACCTTGGTTTTAGGTTCCCTGTTGTTTTTGTTGTAAGGATTAAAGGTACACCCATTCCGCAAGTTTCTACAAAAGTCCTGGCACCTACCCCAGGAGTATCTACACAAATAGTGAGGAAATACATAATGTAGACCAGTAATTCCACAGTTTAAGACCAATCCTTACAGAGTTCTTTCTTCCCTGTCTTCTCTGCTTTTTCCCCAAAAGTGCCTATTTTTTATTTGTTTTATATTTGGTTTGTTTTCTTTTATATCCTACTGCTTCCTAATGCATTTTTTTAATCTGTAGGTAGAGTCTGGGTATGTCTGTGAAGGTGATCACAAGACCATGGCGAAAGCCATCAAAGATAGAGTGTCTTTAATTAAGAGAAAACGAGAGCAGCGGCAATTGGTGCGGGAGGAGCAAGAAAAAAGAAAGCAGGAAGAGAGCAGTTTCAAACAGCAAGTGGAACAACAATCCAGTGCTTCCCAGGCAGGAATCAAGCAGCTCCCTTCTGCTAGCACCGGCATACCTACTGCCTCTGCCACTTCAGCTTCAGTTTCTACACAAGTAGAACCTGAAGAACCTGAGGCAGACCAACATCAACAACTACAGTACCAACAACCTAGTGTATCTGTGTTATGTAAGTATTTTAGGAAGTAGACAAGTATGTTAAGGATATTCATAATTGACTTTTTATCTTCTTCTTAATGGTTTTGCACTGGCCTCTTGGTTTTGAATGATGAATCCAACATAAAATAAATTTGAAATTGTTGCCATCTATCTTTTCTTTCTATTCTTAGGTCCATGACCACTAGAAAAGAAGTATGGGACAGTAAGGAAATGTGATTGGGATATAAAATGATTTTAAGGTTCCTTCATCTTAGAAATTCCAATATAATTAATGAAAAACGAACACGTTTATGTTAGCTACTTAAAATTAAACCCATTAATCTGATTTAGCTCTTTTAGCAAAGCTGAATAACATAAAGTAGAAACTAATGAGACTTCTGTAGTTGAACTTCCTACTTAATACTAAGAACCATTGGCCTCCAAAGTTAAGACTGTGAAAGTTGTGTCAAACTTAAGACTGACTAACAACATTCCTTTTTATTTCCCTTATTCTTCAAGTAATAAGAGTCTGTGATAGCCAGGGAATTTTTTTTTAAGACATTAAAACTCTTTTCCATTTGGAACTCTCATTTAAACATAGAAATATACTTAGTAAAATAACTAGTGTTCACATTTTATTTAGTTTAAGTTTGTGCAAAGAAAAAACTAATTGACCTTAAAGTTTTGTGATGGGGAAAACATGAACCTCCTTTTTGTAATTTGACTCTCTTTGTTTTTTGGCAATTCATTTCTTTTTCAGCTGATGGGACTGTTGACAGTGGTCAGGGATCTTCTGTCTTCACAGAATCTCGAGTCAGCAGCCAACAGACAGTTTCATATGGTTCCCAACATGAACAGGCACATTCTACTGGCACACTCCCAGGACATACAGCTTCTATTGTCCAAGCACAATCTCAGCCCCATGCTGTATATCCACCCTCAAGTATGGTAAGTAACTGCATAAGAGAGTGGTAAGCCTATAATAAGAGCCAATAGATAATGTGTTAAATTCAAATTCAAATTCTTTATATTATTCAAGTAACAGCATAAGTCTCAGGTAGAAAATATAAATCTCGTATTTCTGAAGGAAATAGGTTTATAATAGCATACAATTAGAGTAGTTCAGGCAGAGTAGGGGATATATATGTGTGTGCGTGTAGAGGGGGGAATTAGCTGAACTTCCTATGTGAAGAAAGTATGTACAAGATTTAGATTGTGCTGCGTTTGATTAAAGATAATGCTCTCTTTAGCATGTTAGAGTTGAAATTGTTCAGAGCAGCATAAGTTGGACATACAAATGTTTTGGGGGTGGGGGTGAGGAGAGTTTTTCAAAAGCTTACTTATTAAAAGAATTACTAAGTATATTCTGTAAAATTACTTGTTGTATAAAAATACAGGTAAGACCTTCAGACCATTATAGAATGCTGCATGTAAGTCCTCCAGAGCGAAGGAATCCTTTGTTTGTGTGACCATTTAATTTAGCGCTTATGTTTAGTTAATCATCAGTTGCTATGCGTGTTCCTCCTTAAAGTCTATGTCAGACACAAGTTCCTTCCCTGGTATATATGTTCATTTGCTTGTCCCCTTTATTTGGTATCTGTTTTATTACTGATTTATTTTCAGAATCAACTTTTGGAGGTTATTTCCTGAAATATTTTATGCTTTTTTATACACACACACACATATCTACACACACACACATACATACATTATTACCCACGTTTTACATTAGACACTCTTCTCATATAGAGAATGTTAAAGTCGATCATCAGATAACATCCCATTTCTTTTGACAACCCTCTATGAAGTCTTCAGAAGTAAACTATATCATCTGCTTCAGGAAGGAATTGGAGAATAATTGGTCACTGTATAGCTCTTGTTTAGTGCCAAATTTCCCTCTTTCTCAGAAAGCTTTAATCTGAATTTTGTAGAACTCTTGCTCTTCATTAAATGAAAATCTCTTTTTTTAAAATAATTCTGCGTGCTCTGGTCTTTTATCCTACAGCTTGGAATAAAAGATGTTTTGTTTGTTTCAGAGTCCATTTATCAGTCCTCCATCTAGGTCTCAAGATGAATGGCCACAGTAGCACAAAGAAAACTACTAATATACTAATGTTTTAACAATCTACTTTTATGACTTTTAAAATAGGTTAGGTTAGAAGAACTTTATAAAGTTCTTAGATCGTATAGATGTATTTCTGTGATTTGACAAATATTAGTTGTCAGCATTTCATGTCACTTTCTACTCTTACAATTGATTATTTTCCTGAGTCATCACAATTAACTTTTTAATCTCTTGACTTCCCCCATTATAGGGTCATGAACATTGGGTCTCAGTATTAGAAAAGGAAATGGAATGGTCATTTATGAAGATTTTAAATACTCGAGCCACAAACTTTGCTATATTTATTGATACTCTAAAAGCAGGCTGTTAATGACAGTCTTGCTTTTTAATAATATTCTATGGAGGTATCATGAAGAGTTCTTAAATATTGAGGATTTTAAAAAGTTTATAATTCTTATTCCAGAAATATTTTACTGTGGATTATATCAATTATAAGTGGAATTTTAAAATTAGAATAAAAGAGAAATGGGTAGAGAAAAAGAGAACCAAGAATGAAACTAAGTAATCATATGGTGATACTTACATACTTGCTTTTGGTGGGCCGCAAATTTGGCTGAAAGCATTCTATGCAGCCAGTTTTGGTAAAGAAAATTTAATTAGTTACCATTTACAATATCTAAAAGAAAATAACAAACTTGTTTACGACAATCTTACAGTATTAGAGGTACTGCTTTGTAGTTATATTAAAACTTTTGTGTTAAGGTACCTTAAACTTTATAAACTTAAATTGGATATCTAATATGCCCGAAAAAAAATTAAAGTTATTCTTCAGAGATTCACATTTAAGACATTTTCCATTGACTGCTTTAGTAAAAATACAGAATGTTTCCTATATCTATTGTGAATTACTTCTAGAAAGCTAATGCTTTTTTTAGTAGAAAATAACTTTTTGCATTTACACATTAAGATAGGCAAGTTTAATAAATAAAATACTGTGAGCCAACAACTTTCTTAGTCTGATGCCTTCTAAAATAAAATTGAAAAACCTTTTTGGAGGCTTCCAGAGTTCCTGCAAAGTGACCCAGTCTTTACAAATCTTCTCTATCATATAATCTACATTAAACTAATAGAATTCATTCTTGTTTAATCTTGTTTATGGAAACTGCAAGCCAATATTTATTGTTTTCCCTGACCTGCTGCCTCAGTCAGTCACCCATCCTTATTCATACATTCATAACAATCCATGTTATTTCAGAATATTTTGGAAGATAATTGATCATTATCATAGTTGTTCATAAAATAAACCTGTACTTGACCAACAACATAGAGAGCGATTAATGTGATCTTCCAGATGTGCTTTATGGAATTATATCTCTCCTCACAAAATTGGCTTTGCGGAATTAGGGGAGAATGGAACATTTCTTTGTGTCAACTATGCCCTGTTATCATTGTACATTTGGTTATTTTGCTTTCAAAGTACTGTGTTTTTCATGTATACGTTTGTTTTCTGTTTAGCCTCGTCGTGGCCGTAGCATGTCGGTTTGTGTTTCCCATCTTTCTGCTGTTCCCTTTCTGTCCCGCATCTCTCCCAGTGCTCCTTCCACCCCACCACCAGTGCTGTCTGCACCTCTTTCTCCTTCCCTCCTTCGGACTGCCCCTGAGGAAACTTTTGCCGAAAAGCTTTCTAAAGCATTGGAGAGTGTCCTGCCTATGCACTCTGCCTCTCAGCGCAAGCACCGACGCTCCAGCCTGCCTTCCCTCTTTGTCAGTACTGTATGTAACCATAAACTTCCTGACAAATGAAAATTTACTACCAATGAATACATCCAGGCATCAAGAATTTTAATAAAGATTAAATAAAGAACAAGACTAAACCCAGTAATATGTTATGCTTTTAAGATACCAGTTCCTACAGGAAATTTTTTTATTGTAAGGCTTAAAGGGAAAAAAAAAGCAAGGAGGTAATGAGAGAGAATGCTTATAACACCTGTGGCACATATCAGTGTGTGCACAATAAAATTTACCTTTAATTATATTCTCCTGTTCCCTACTGACATACACAAATCCTTGCATTTTCATATTCTAGCAAAGTATATGTCTATTATTTAATTTTAAACTCATTGTTGTCCTAATCAAAAGTATATTTTCTCTTTATCACACATTACCCAAACATGTTTTCTCCTTACTTTATTTTAAAGGACACCAATGAAGCTAGATGAGTCCATTTTTTCCCATAGTGAGTGAAAGGTCTAGCTTTAAAAGTTTAAACACTGTGGGACCTTGCTGTTGCTTTTCCAGTTAGAGATTGTAGTTAACAGTCTGATACATAAGCCCCAAAATCTTCTTTTACCTAGTAGAATAATTAACTATACAGTGTTTTATGGCTTTTGGATACTAATAGAGACCCTGTTAGCTGTTGTGAAGAAGAAACACTTGAGCCATTTTGCTAATTTGATAGCGGTCTTCCCTACTGAAAAAATGAAACAAATCGATCTACTCTTTTTAAAAAGAGCCCTTGAAAGTGAATTATTAGTGTGCATTGTTTGCATTTGGTAAGATAGGATTCTAAATTTAGGGCCTTAAATCTAGAACTGCTTCTGTGAACAAAAAAAGTGCTGTTAAATCAAATCAGCTGTTATTTATGTTATACTTTTCAACTGATTTGAACACCGAATTTTTCAACCCTTAACTAGGATCAGAAAGGTGGATATTCAGTGATTTGACATCTGTAACATGTTTCGTGTAGTAAGATAAACTGCATCTAGTTTGGGATAGATCAGCGAAAGACATTACTGTCACTAGTGAAGTTGTGTTTTTTCCTGTCCACTAAAAACCTCTTCTGATTTCTAGTTAGAAGATATATGATTGTTTGATAAAATAACACTGAAGCCTTTAACAGCACAGGGTAAGAAGAATATAGAATATAGGTAGATTTGTACAATAGCTTAAATTGAAGCACTTTGCTTACATTATAAAAATTTAGGGGCTTATTGTCCGCCCTTAACTCTTTTCCTTTAACTCTTTTTCCACTGATGTAATTTATAGTAAGTCTTAAGAGTAAGCATATTAATTGTGGGTAAAAACAGAGTAATCACTTACAAAGTTAAATTCTTCCATTTCCTTTGAGAAAGGAAAGTTGTGGAAAAGCAGCTTTTATCTGATGCAAAGAGTCCCACAGAATAACTTTATGGACCCTGGATGTATTTAATGGATTTTTACTATGCACATAATTTCAAAAAGTATTGTTATTTCTTTATTAATTTTAAATTTAGTGTAACTGTTTCATAGAGTTACACAGAGCTACCCAGTTGTGCATGTTTAATGTAATTTCACATATGAATGTATGAATTACTTGTCTTATTCATGTTGATACAGCCTCAGTCCATGGCGCATCCGTGTGGGGGGACCCCAACATACCCAGAATCACAGATATTTTTCCCAACTATTCATGAACGTCCAGTTTCTTTTTCACCACCTCCCACCTGTCCACCGAAGGTGGCCATTTCCCAGCGACGTAAGAGCACCTCCTTCCTGGAAGCTCAAACTCACCACTTCCAACCCCTGCTGAGGACTGTTGGCCAAAATCTTCTTCCACCTGGTGGCAGCCCAACTAACTGGACACCAGAGGCCGTAGTTATGCTGGGTTCTACAACCAGTAGAATATCCGGAGAGCCATGTGATATACAGGTCAATCCTATATTTGAACCAGCTCAAGTTTACAGTGACTATAGACCTGGACTAGTACTTCCAGAAGAAGCTCACTATTTTATTCCTCAGGAAGCAGTGTATCTAGCTGGGGTACAGTACCAGGCCCAGGTGGCAGAACAGTATGAGGGTATTCCATACAACTCACCAGTACTGTCAAGTCCTATGAAACAGATACCTGAACAGAAGCCAGTACAAGGGGGCCCTACTTCAAGTTCTGTCTTTGAATTTCCATCTGGACAGGCTTTCTTGGTAGGACACCTTCAGAATTTAAGATTAGATTCTGGATTGAGTCCAGGATCTCCCCTCTCTAGTATTTCTGCACCTATCAGTACAGATGCTACACGTTTGAAATTTCACCCTGTCTTTGTTCCTCATTCTGCACCCGCTGTGTTAACTCATAACAGTGAGAACAGAAGCAATTGTGTATTTGAATTTCATGTTCACACTCCAAGCTCCTCTTCAGGAGAAGGAGGAGGAGTTTTACCTCAGCGTGTTTACCGAAATCGACAGGTTGCGGTGGACTTGAATCAGGAAGAACCACCTCCTCAATCAGTTGGAGTACATGGCCGCCTGCAGCCTGTGACTGAAGAACAGCATAATTACCATGTCCCAGAATTGACTGTTTCTGTGGTAGAGCCTATCGGACAGAACTGGCCAATAGGAAGCCCAGAATATTCCAGTGATTCCTCACAAATTACTTCTTCAGACCCCAGTGATTTTCAGTCACCTCCCCCTACAGGGGGAGCACCTGCACCTTTTGGCTCTGACGTCTCATTACCCTTTATCCGTCTACCTCAGACAGTGTTACAAGAATCCCCACTTTTCTTCTGTTTCCCCCAAGGAACCACATCTCAGCAGATTTTATCTGCCTCATTTTCTTCAGGAGGATCTGCACTCCATCCACAGGTTATAGGAAAACTTCCACAATTCTTTTAAACTACCCTACTATGCACCATTACATTTACGTGTTCTATCCCTCCATTCCATTTATGAAGAATATTATTTCATTTTATTGGTAGTGTTTCTCCATTTAGGGGATAATATAAACTTGTATTTAAGGACCAAATAGAGAGAAGCTGCCTAATTTACCTATAATATATGCAAAGCCTTGGAAAAGAGAACACGACTAGAATTTTAGTCTCTTGTCAAAATCAATTCTATCCATTTATAGAATATTTTCAACTAGTAGTGAAAATGCAAATGTCTGTAATGTAAAGTTGACTCAGCATTGATTATTTACAAGTAGTAATGTGAGATTTCTTTCTCACTAGAAATAAACATGCCTAGTTTTAAAAAAATAGAAAGGATAACATTTTTAGTGTGGAAAGATTTGAAAAGACAGGGAAAGGAAAACATCTTAGGAATTTGTTTTAACAAATGAAGATGCCTTTTTAAAAAGGCATCAGTGGAAAAAGTCGCTATGTATTATATGTCCAAATAAAATGTTAATCCATAAATTCACTGATTCTAAGTTTTAGCAACTAAGTCAGAATCTAATGTGAGTGGTGGGGTTTTTTTTAACTTGTTTTAAGAATTTGTGATATACGTTGCAAGCTAAGGAACATGAGCTATCCCAGGCCTTAGTTTTTTCATGAATAAACTTAAATTTTGTTATTTATATTTATGAGTCTTGTGTACTCTTGGAAATAAAGACAAAGTAATGGACATAATAGAATTAAAGAAGTGGAGTCAGTATTAACTATTTCATGTATTTCTTTTATACATTTTGTTAAATGTATATATCTTATAAAATCTGTATAGGCGTCTACAGCCATGCCACCCTGAACAAGCCCGATCCCATCTGATCTCGGAAGCTAAGCAGGATTGGGCCTGGTTAGTACTTGGACGAGAGACCACCTAGGAAGACAAGGTGCTATAGGCATAAAAAATAAGGGATTGTAAGCTGACAAGGTCCTTGCAATCTGTGAGGTCAACCGCGGGTTGCCTTGCCTAAAAAAAAAATCTGTATAGGAGCCTGTGTAGTTATATATTTAAGACATCATTTGGATCTTTTAAATATTCCATTCTTTTATAAAGTACTATATGTTCTTCGTACTTTCTTCCTAAGGTGTTCCCCCATTGGAGGTATAAACTGTCAGAGTATACGTAAAATATCAGTTACTTAGAATAGTACCATGGATCAAAAAGATTCAGAAACTTGAAAATTATACTGCATGGGCATACAGTATACTTACATCAATACACCAGTTGTCAGCCCCCACTGTAAATTTTAATGCACTGCCAGCCATTCTTTAAATGTTCCAAAATAAAATTTCAAATAATCAGGTAGTTAATTTACAGACATATTGCAGAAAGGATGAATACTTGTAGTGGTTAAGATGCAGTGGAATGTGATGTCATAGCCAAGTAATCTTCAAAGAAACCCCTCTAAACTGAAATGGAGCAACAAAGGTGGGCCTTTTCATTTCCTTAACTTACCTTTATAAAGTCCTGTGTTGATTTTTCACTTTTTCAGTTGTGTAACTTTTTCTGGGTTAGGATTTCTCAAATTCAGCACTATTGATGTTTTATGTTGCATAATTCTTTGTTGTGGGTAGCTGTTCTGTGCATTGCAGGATGTTTAGCAGCATCCTTGGCCTCTTCCCACTAGCTGCCAGTAGCAGCCATCTCCCCCAGTAATAACAACCAAAAATGTCTTCAGATATTGCCAAATGTCCCTGGGGGCAGGAGAAGGGGTTGCAAAATTGTCCCTTGAGAGTCATTGCTATACGTGCTTGGCAGTTGATGATAACAAATTTTTTACATTTTTGATAAAAGTCACCATGATAGTACAAGAAATAGCAAATGGAACCACATTATCCTTATCAAATACCCTTTTTTTTCAATTGTTCACATAAGAGTTTTTTTCACATTTCCTGATTATTTTCAATAACAATTGTATTATGAATCTTACATTTTGTCCAGTAAAAATATAGCCTGAGCAGAAGTGGTTGGTTGTTTTAACCATCAGTGGTTTTTGCATGGGATCAGAGTATGTGCTTCTCTAACCTTTTCTTACAAAAGATGCCCAACAGTCTCCCAAACATACTTTATCAAGCTAATGTTTCATCTTACTCTAGCACACTCTCAGAAGCTTAATATGTATTGCAAAAGCCTGACCTTCCTACATATTTAGTGACTTTAGGGCTTCTCTAATTTGTTGTTTACTTCTTTCCTTCAGGCACAGGGGCAGAGCCAGGGTCAACCATCCTCAAGTAGTGTAACAGGGGTTTCATCTTCCCAATCTATACAACATCCTCAGCAGGTGAGAGCGACTCATTGTTACACATTATGGATTCGCAAGTCAATATGCTGTTTTACATCTTACTTGAATTAGTTTTCTGATGTAAATGGCTTGCTAAGCTTATGAAAGGAAAACCAAGAGGCATAACATTTCTTATATTCAGTAACATTTTAGAAAATCTTCTGTTTAATGTATTTTTGAACAGTTACTGGATTAGACATACATTGAAATTTAAAAGAATCATTGTTACTAATATGTTATAACTTATCTGCTTTCTTAAACAGATAGTTCTGCACATAATTTAACAATACAAATAATACCAGTTTTGTTTCTACTCTATTTATGACTTGTCCATTTGTGATCATTTTGTCATTGCTTTCATTGTGCTTAACTTTAGTAACGCTCCACTCCTTTATCATTATTTCTAATTTGTGGGATGGGACATCAGATTTTATGCTAAGAGGCATGGTATGAAGGCCTAAGAACAACTACTTCAGGAACTTTTTAAAAAAATGTTAAACTTATGATTTGTTCCCAATGGTTCGTGGAACTCAAGACTTGAATACAATGCTGATATATTCAACAGTAAAAATGATAATTCTAAAATGAAATATCTATAGTTCATCACTGATATTAGTTAATAGCAATTTGCATGGGAATGCTTTTTTGGCACAATTGCATCTTTATTGGCTGTTTGAAATAAAATTTATAGTTACTACATGTGTCATAAAAACTTCATAATGAGCTATTTCATTGCTAGTTCCCTGTGAAATTTTTGAACCACCAAATTATAAATTGGCTTGTTTCTATTAATTTTTAAAACAAAGCTTTTAATTCTTATTACAAATGGCCTGCATCTGATCCAGCATGTGATCATGTAGTCATTTGTTACTCGTTTAAGATCAGGTGTTCCTTGTACAAGATTAGTTTGTTTATATATACATTTAACTCTTTGATGAGCACCTCTGTCTTATAGAATTTAAGGGTGGGGAATTATATGTTTTTCTTGCTCCTGCCCTCTTTTCCAGTCAAGTATGTGAATGTTTATATAATTATAGTTGAGTAGTCACATTTTTGCCAGCTTTAACAAATTCTATTTTAATTATATTAACAGCCTTTAATAAGAATACAAATTAAAAGTTATATAAAGCTGGTTGAGGACAGAAGCACTATCATGGATACCAGTCTCCTAATATGCTTATTTTGTACACAGGGCAACACCAAGAAACTGAGCAAATTTAAGTGTGTACTCCTTTTCCAAAGAAATATGTTATACAACTTATATTTGGACATATATATGTATACTTACTACCAAATGAAGAAGATAATGAAATAAGCCATTTAGTTCAATGGTGAGAAAAGTATGCGGGGATAAAGGAGGGCAATTCCATAAATGTCAGGTTAAAAGAATTAGGTCGGGTGCGCCAGGCCCCCCCAAGTGTGCCAGGGGCACTAGGCCCTGGGTGCACGCTCCCAGCGTGTAAGAGGAGACTCCCTGCCTTCAGAGATCCAGTTTTTAAGGGAAGACAGCAACATCTATAGGTCAGCGGTGGAAGGTGGGGTGCGGATTAAAGAGGGGGAAAAAAAGAATTAGGTAGTTGACTCTTCTGGGGAAAAAATAGCTAAATTGCTCTCCCTGCAGTACAAACAAAAATTAATTTATGTTTGTGATTTTTTTGAGATACTTTTATTTTTGAATTATTTTAAATGTAGCATGATATTTAAGTAGAATCATAAAATCGAACCCTCCAAAAGTGTATGTGATCTAGACTATTTAATATTTCCAGGATCACATAGCCTGTGAGTAGAACTAAAAATCACAAGCCAAAATTCAAGATATCTAGAAGTGTTTTTTCTTCTAGTTTAAAGTTCTACGGAGTTCTACGGAGACTTAAGATTCTGCAAAGATACCCAAGAAGCTGCATTTGTTTGTTTTGTGTAGTGGGGTGCCATATTAAAAAATAAGAAAAAAGGCTGTAAACTTTCTGTGCTATTGGGTAGAGTCTGTCTATTTTTAGATGTGATTTTTGTTTTACGTACTGTCAGGTCCTAACCCCTTAGGAAACCATATCTCTAGTTTTATTAGAGTGAAAGGAAGGTACTTTAGCTGAAATTTACTTTATTTCATGGGTTTCTGAAATAGTCTAGTAGACATATGTCCATTCCTACAAAACAAATAAGGATAATAACTAACACTATATACAATGTACAAAGCATTGACCTGTATATAATGAATAAAGGATTGCTTTTTTTCATGTTTTTATAAGTAGACCCTTCTAGTGGTATATTGTATCATATTGAGGTACCAATAATAGCTTCTTCTTCTTGCCAGGAAACTTAGTAGTTTGTTGCCACCAGCAAGGTCATGAGTTACCCTACTTAATTTCTTTCATAGGGCACATGTATACTCTTCAGGTATTTCTTACTTTTTATTCAACTGGGGCTCATGAATGTTTTTTTCACTAGGTGCTCATGTCCAACAGATAGTACACAGTCTGTATTAGCTGGTTTGACCTGGTTTCATGAGGCAAGTTTATGCAAATCATTCTGCTAAGCAACTATGCCAAACAATACCTGTTTGGCTGACCTGTTGATAATTAGCCAATGTGATTGTGCACAAAAAAAATCACCATATACTCCTGACCTACCCAAAGATGCCCCTTCTCCTTAAATGCTCTCCTTAAACAACTGGCATACATACCTCAATTATTTTAAGCTAAGAGTGAGGATTTATGTCTATAAAACTGCTCAGGTTTTACTGTCCTCATACATACTCCCAAACTAATTAAGCAGTATTTTTTCTAATTGTGTTTATGGTCTGAAGAGCCATGGGTTAGCCCCTAAGGACCTAGCTAGGCCGTGAGTTCCCAAGCTGCACCAGGTATGACTACTTCTAGGGAGGCTAAATATTCTAGTAGACTTATGTCCATTCCTACAAAACAAATAGCGATAATAGCTAACATTATATACAACGTACAAAGCACTAACCTGTATTTTTATTTAATACTTATATGAACCTTGTAAGTGTAGGTACTATCGTTATTTTTATTGTACAGGTGGGAAAACTGAGATGAGATCTGAGAAGCTGAGTGATTTACCCAAGCTTATACAGCTCATTAGAGGAGACACATAATTTAATCCAAGTAGTCTGACTCTGCAGCTCACCATTTAGCTACTACCTAATTGTGTCATGAAAGGAGAAAAATTATATCTCTTCTAAGTAGGGAGGGAAAAATATTAACCCTCCTCCCAAAAATGTTAATGGAATAAAATTGGTGATAACCTGAATTATATTCTATAACCTGTCTTATATTCTATAAGACAATTGCAAAAAAAAATCCAACTATGCTAGTATTATTCAAACAGATGCTTGTCACAGCAAATTTTATCTCAAGACACAATTTTCAGGAAAAGTGTTATATTCTCCAGAAGACTATAGCATTCATAGCATAGCTCCAGTGACGATAAAGACACTAGTGTATTATATGTGAAGAGTTTGAATGATGGATGGGGAGCAGTATTTCTAAATTACTATATTTATATAATATGATATCTTATTTAGGTATGTAAATTTATGACTTAGATAATTGTAGATTTTTCCATGTAAATTCCTTAAAGTTTAAAGATATTCAGGTTGACCAAAAAGGTTTTCTAGTTTTTAGTTGTTCTTTTCAATGAGAAAATGGGGAAATTGTCTTATATTCAGAGTTACCTTATAGTTGCATTCATATGATGTATTTTAGTTGCTGAAAATAAATTTTATATAACTCAGCAGCCATTTGTTCCTCATTTTTTAAATTAAAATAATAATTATCAGAAATATGTAAGAATAAAACAAACATGACTGCCATCACCATTATATTTCAGGGTTCTTTTGGTGATTTTATTTTGCTAAAAAAATCAATCAAAATATTCAGTATTAAGACATTGATGCTATTGATAAATGAAATGAAAATAACATGTTAGAGAACAGTATTTATATAATGGGCATGTTTTTTGGTTTTGTTTTAACAAAGAAAAATGTACTTGTATGTAAATGACCATTTATGCATAGAAAAAATTTTCATAACGGTGATGCACCAAACCATTAATAGTGGTTGGCACTGAAGAAATGAGGTTGGGGTATTTTCATTTAACTTTATAATTGAAAGTTTTTATTGCAAACAAGTGTTGTTTTTGTATTAAAAATTTTAAGTTATGTTACAGGTATTAGAGAGTCTTGAAAGTCAAGTTATGAAGTTCAGATTTTTGTTACGCAAGATGGGGCCATTAAGTTATTACAAAAGTTAGTATTTGGGTACAATTATGTGCCATGCATCAAATTTAGGTGTTTTATACCAAAGTGCCTAGCACATGGTTGATTCCCCAAATGTCACTCCTTTTGCCCCACTTTGAGTTGAGTGATAGTATCCTTATTTACAAAGGAAACTTTATTTTGGCCATAAAATGAGCAGTCTCTAAGGTTTTTTATAGCTATAATCAGAGCTATTCAAACAAGTTGATGATAACAGTTTATAAAGTAGATTAAAGGAAAGAGATTAAAGGAAGATTAGATCAGTTTGAGATAGGACCAAAGTGAGAGCCGATACCAAATAATAAGAAAACAAGGGATGTTGGGTTACATGAGGAAGGATCTATTTGGATATGGTATCTAAAGGTCTTTATAAATGACCTCCTATTGGGGTGAGGGGGTAATGTTGGGTGAAGAACCAGTGGTGACTCAAGTTTTGAAACATCGGTTCATTGTTCTTGGTCGTACCATCACAAATAAAGAACAGCAGAAGAAAAAGAGAAATATAAAGGGGAGTTGATGAATTTGGATTTGTGCATGTCTCGATTACAAAATTGTCATCATTTACAGGTACTGAAGGCCTTAGGCAAACATCTTTCCTTAGAAACATGCTATTAATGATTTGAAATAGAATTGAATAACTATATTTTATTCTCAGCAGCATGGAATACAGCAGACAGCCCCTCCTCAACAAACAGTACAGTATTCACTTCCACAGACATCAACCTCCAGTGAGGCCACTACTGCACAGCCAGTGAGTCAGCCTCAAGCTCCACAGGTCTTGCCTCAAGCATCAGCTGGAAAACAGGTAAACTCTTAATTTTAAAAGGATGTTAAAAGGGAACCCCATGTAACTTGTCATTTCATGTAGATAGGCTTCTACCTTCTCTGATGGTGAAATATCAAAGTTGGTTGTTTTCTCTGCAATCATTTTTGATTCATTTAGTGGAAAATTGCTCCTTTTGTGCATATGCATTGGTTAATGTAAATGTCAGCCAGTTCAACAGGTGTTAGAACTGATGGATTAAATACGGGTACTTGGGTAACTGAACTTATGCCATTTTCTAGAATTGTGTCAGCTGTATCTAATATTGTAGGTCTGCACCTATGCTGTATTTTCAAGTAGATTTATGCGTTGTTTTTTCCCTCATTGACTACTTGACAGTAAGTCATAAAAACCTCTTGTATGGAATGGTGTTTTTTTCTAAGACGTCTTTCCAATCACCTGGAAAGTTCCCTGTAGAAGGTATGTTCTGAATGACCTTTTTTCAGCTTTAACTTTGGGCCTTGTTGTGCTTGGATTTTGGCACAATGTATTGTTTCTGTCATAATTCATCGCATCTGAGATACTATTAATTGTAAAATATACTATTATTTTATGTATCACTGAGTACTAGTATACCATTAATTGTAAAAATATATCTCAGTTTCACAAATGTTAAAATGAGACAAGGTGGTGGAGTGAGATGCTTGTATCCTGGAATAATTACCTGAAATACAGTAATTATACCTATTTTTATATGCCCGAGTTACACTAAAATCAATGTGGATAAAATATTAATTCCACTTGGAAGAAAGAAATTCATTTGAATTTCAGTAACTACTGTAATCGCAGTCATAGATTTAGTGATAGCAAACATGTCAATGAATTATGGTATGTGAAATGTATCTCAGTAAAGCTGTAAAAAAAAAACAACAAAAAAAAGCTTGCCTATGAAAGGGTCCTATTTTTATTATTGAACAATGAAGCATTAGCAAATTTTTCTACAATGAAAGATTTGGAACAGTAGCCAGTCTATCAGCCTCTTTGTTTCCTGCTATCCTTTCCCTATTTTTATGTGACATATTAACTTACACTAAATGTATGCAGGGTTTTTTGTTTTGTTGTTTTTTAATTTTCCCTCTTTTTGGCTAATACATAAATCTTGCTTTTGGCAGCCTTGCTTTTTTATTTTTTTTAAATCTCTTTTTTGTTTTTCTTTACCTTCTCAGCTTCCAGTTTCCCAGCCAGTACCAACTGTCCAAGGCGAACCTCAGATCTCAGTTGCGACACAACCCTCAGTTGTTCCAGTGCATTCTGGTGCTCATTTCCTCCCTATGGGACAGCCACTTCCTACTTCCTTACTCCCTCAGTACCCTGTCTCTCAAATTCCTGTATCAACTCCTCATGTGTCCGCGGCTCAGACAGGTTTCTCAACCCTTCCCATCACAATTGCAGCTGGCCTTAATCAGCCTCTGCTCACCTTGGCTTCATCTGCTACAGCAGCCGCAATCCCAGGGGGATCAACTATGGCTCCTAGTCAGCTACCAGCCCTTCTGCAGCCTGTGACTCAGCTGCCAAGTCAGGTTCACCCACAGCTCCTGCAGCCAGCAGTTCAGTCCATGGGAATACCAGCTAACCTTGGACAAGCTGCTGAGGTTCCACTTCCCTCTGGAGATGTTCTATACCAGGTATTGTGTTGGCTAGCAAAAAGGAGGGGACCAGAGGGTCTGGTTCTTAATAGGAGACCATCAAGGACTTGAAAATCTGATAGTCGAATATCAGAATAACTAACAATAACAAAAGTTGCTGATCTCAACTAGAGAAGCTAAAAAGTAAAATTCTGAGAAAGGATAAGGTGATGATTTTTGATGATTCATTTCCATTTTTCTCAGGACACCTCTTAGGAGAAAAATGGTTCCCTTGATACTCAATATAAGCTAATTGAATGCTAGATATGGCTAATAATAGAGTACTTACAGCTACTTTTGTAATAGAGTAAATAGAGTGACCAATATGGTATTAATAAAAAGCTTTGGGGCTTAGATTTAAAAGAGCTAGCATGTCATCATATGACTGGAATGACTGACACCTTGAAGAGTTTTTGTATTTTCCCATTTAAGATTGTCTAGAAAGTAGATATTTTTCTAGAAGGAATTATGTCTGTTCTTCCTATTTAAATAAGCTCCAGGAGGAAAAAACAAGCAATTTAAAGTATACTTGTAGAGTCCTGTTCCCTAAATAGAAAGCTGTCATTTCATTTCAAGAATCATCTTTAAATCTTTAAATTATTTAGAAAGGTATTGGGCTACTATTCTTTCTATGTGCTTTTTCTTTTCTTTCTTTTTCTTTCTTTCTTTCTTTCTTTCTTTCTTTCTTTCTTTCTTTCTTTCTTTCTTTCTTTCTTATTATTTTCATAGAGGCAACATTGGTTAATAAAATTATGTAGGTTTAGAGTGTACAATTCAATAATATGTCCTTTTTCTTTTCTTTCTTTTTCTTTCTTTCTTTCTTTCTTTCTTTCTTTCTTTCTTTCTTTCTTTCTTATTATTATTTTTTTGCATGTCTTGCTGTTTTGCTAATTTGATGACCCAACTTGCACTAAGTCACCTTCCTCATTTCTGTCGCAGGGCTTCCCACCTCGACTGCCACCACAATACCCAGGAGATTCAAATATTGCTCCCTCTTCCAGCGTGGCTTCTGTTTGCATTCCTTCTACAGTCCTATCCCCTCCAATGCCGACAGAAGCATTAGCTACACCAGGTTACTTTCCTACAGTGGTGCAGCCTTATATGGAATCAAATCTTTTGGTTCCTGTGGGCAGTGTAGGAGGACAGGTTCAAGTGTCCCAACCAGCAGTGAGTTTAGCACAAGCCCCCACTGCATCCTCCCAGCAAGCAGCTCTGGAGGTAAATGGAATTTCTGCATGTTTATATCTAAAACAAATATAATGGAATAAAAATTACAGAGGAGAAACATAGGTTCCCTGGTTTAGAACTCATTTGGAGACTATTTCAAACTAACATCTAAATGACTTTTTCTTACAGCAGAATGAAATGCCAATGTGGGGGCTTTGTTGCCACTGGCTGTTCTGTTGGGAAGTGAGTGTGCCTTGGAGATTAACCCTATTAGCACTTCACTTCTCTAGCTAGCACTTGAGCCATTATTCTTATCCTTTCACGAATTCTTGCCATTGGCAGTCGTAAGATTATCTTACCTAGCTGTGCGCCCAGTAATTTTTGCCCTACTAGGAGAAAGATCTAAATCATTTTTGCACTTTGCTCTGTCTGCCTGCCCTGTTGCACACTTTTAGTAAGATGCTGGCTGCATGGCAAATTGTAGTTTCTTACTACCTAGCAACTGTGTTGGCTGATGTTACACCATACCAGAGACTAGCTTTAGAAACTTCCTTTGGAATTTTAAGACCACTGTATCTAGACGCTGAATATTGAGAATTACTAGTAAGTTTAGTGCTTCTAGGACTTAGAGGAGGGATAAGGAAATATCAAGCAGCTTTTGGGAATGGGGAATAATAAAATCTGTTACTACCAAGATTTGAATTATCCTTTCTATTCACAGAGTACTCAGGGAGTCTCTCAAGTTGCTCCTCCAGAGCCAGTTTCGGTAGCACAGCCACAGCCCACCCAGCCTGCCACTTTGGTCTCTTCTATAGATAGGTATGTGAAAGTAAAATTTTCTATCCTTGACTAGTAGGTAGTATGGTATGAAACTTTAAAATTTCAAACCTTTATATCTCATATTGTAAACTGAACTTCTTTTTTTGAAGTGCACATTCAGATGTTGCTTCAGGTATGAGCGATGGCAATGAGAATGTGCCATCATCTGGTGGAAGGCATGAAGGGAGAACTGCAAAACGGCATTATCGAAAATCTGTAAGAAGTCGCTCTCGTCATGAAAAGACTTCACGCCCCAAATTGAGAATTTTGAATGTATGTATTGCTGATTTTGTGGTTTCAGATAATAATATTATTTAACTATTTCTAAGGCTCAGGTATATTGATGAAACTTTAGGATCTTCTAATCACCCAAATGATACTGTTAAATTCCATATTTCTGTGATGAGGCTCTATTTACCTTTTAGAAAAAGAACAGTTTTAATTTGTAAAACAAAAGCTTTACATTCCTTCCAGACTCTTCAGTGGAAGATGAGTATGTTATCTCTAAGACTGATATTTTCTTAAGGTGTTGTTGCTACCAGTTTAAGAGGCAGAGTACCAGTGCTTCAAGGAATATCGATAACAGCAAGCTTAAGTTCAAGTGATAATCTGCATTACTTTCTCATATTCAGTAGCAAAGGTGATTATGGTCTTCTGAAGTATGAAGTACCTTTTCTTTTTTCTTTTTAGGTTTCAAATAAAGGAGACCGGGTAGTAGAATGTCAGTTAGAGACTCACAATCGGAAAATGGTTACATTCAAATTTGATTTAGATGGTGACAATCCCGAGGAGATAGCAACAATTATGGTATGTTTGCATTTGGAGTTCCAATTTTGCCTCAGTACTTGATTTAGATGTCCACTGCCCTAGGCAAATATGCAGTATTTTGCAATCTATTTTGATAGTTACATATTTATTTCAGTGTGAATGTACCTAGTACACCAAACCTGTGATTTAGAGATGTTTTTGTCTAGGACATTTCTAACTAGGTATTGAAGAATTAACTTCTCATATCAAGTAAATAATATTGCAGGTGGTACACAGATAGGGCAGACATCATGAAAGTGATAATTGAATGATTTAAAGCTTGAGAAACATTGTAGTAATCAGACTGACATCACATTTCTATTACAGGTGAACAATGACTTTATTCTAGCAATAGAGAGAGAGTCGTTTGTGGATCAAGTACGGGAAATTATTGAAAAAGCTGATGAAATGCTCAGTGAGGATGTCAGTGTGGAACCCGAGGGTGACCAGGGATTGGAGAGTCTACAGGGAAAGGATGACTATGGCTTTTCAGGTTCTCCGGTAGGTTCCGCAGTCCCCTAGTGAAGGTTTGTTTATTAAAAAATATTTCTGTAGTACTAAAATCTGCCATGCAAAATGTCCAGTGATACCGTAACATTATACTTCTGATTGAAATTATCAAACATTTATGTTCTCTTTTCATGTGGCGATTCATTTGCTTTGCCTAATTGCTAAGATTGCATTTGAGAATGCGATTAATTACTTTTATTTGTTGTAGAAATTGGAAGGAGAGTTCAAACAACCACTTCCTGCATCTTCCATGCCACAGCAAATAGGTGAATTTCTTTTCTTTCCATGTTTGCTCTTATCTTTGACCTAAGAAGTTATGTGCTAATAATGAAGTCTTGAAGCTTCTTATTGGTGACAGTATATATCATAATAATGCAATTAAGTGGTTTGTTTCTTTTTAACCAGGCATTCCTACCAGTTCTTTAACTCAAGTTGTTCATTCTGCTGGAAGACGGTTTATAGTGAGTCCTGTACCAGAAAGCCGATTACGAGAATCAAAAATTTTCACCAGTGAAATATCAGATACGGGTAAGGAATTGCTTCTACCACATACTTCTTTAACTCCTGCAGCATCTCTGCTATATTGGAAGTTTGGTCCTCTAGCAGTAGTTCAAATGATGACATAGACAGTAGAGTTGAAAATTGGGATTATAACCAACAGGTAAACATATGGAGGAAGGAAATAAGTGATGGATAGAGAAGATTAAAGAAGAAGAGCCAAAAGAGACAGCCATACTAGATACAGCCTGTAATAGATACTGTTTAGATACAGTAGTATTTTTTTGTTTCTCCATGTAGTACTATTGTGTATGCTTTGTGGTTACTCCATGTTTTTTTCAGAAATAGATATTCATAAATGCTAACTTATTTTGATCAAATTACTATTTTACTTTGCCGTTTTAGAGCTTATCATTTCCTGGGGAGAGTTTTTTAACCTTGTTGGTATGTGGTATTGTTAGTAATTCAAAAGTAGGTTGTTAGGACAATCTTTTATATCTACCCTTTTAAAATGAACTGATTCTGAATTTTTTATTTTCCTTTGCAGTTGCCGCCTCTACATCTCATGGCCCTGGGGTGAACTTGTCCCACTCTGCTTCTTCCCTTAGTCTACAGCAGGCCTTTTCTGAACTTAGACATGCCCAAGTGACAGAGGGACCCAATACAGCACCTCCCAACTTCAGTCATATAGGACCAACATTTCCAGTAGTACCTCCTTCCATGAGTAGCATTGCTGGAATCCCAACGACAGCAGCAGCCGTACCTTCAATATCAGTCCCTGTAACTAGCTGCCCTCTTAATGACATTTCCACATCAATAATTCAATCTGAGATTACAGTGCCCACTGAAAAAGGAGTTGCTGGAGTTGCCACCTGCACAGGTGTAATAACTTCAAGTGGTTTCCCAGTACCACCTGCATCTGAATCACCAATTCTTTCCAGTGTGGTTTCAAGTATCACAATACCAACAGTTGTCTCAGTATCAACAACATCCCAGTCAGTTCAGGCTCCCACATCTGGGAGCGTTGTTTCTAGTATAGGCACTTTCCCTTCTATACCAGTTTCAGCAACTTCAGCCTCTGCAGTGGGCAGTGCTGCTGCCCCAGGGGCTAAGTCTCCACCTTTGTTATCTGAGCAGTCAGCAGGCATTACTACAGGGATAGCCACATTAACATCAGTTTCTACCACCACTCCATTCCCAAGCACAGCTTCACAGCTATCTCTTCAGCTTAGCAGCAGCACCTCTGCTCCTACTCTAGCTGAAACAGTGGTGGTTAGTGCACACTCACTAGATAAAACATCTCACAGCAGTACGACTGGACTGGCTTTGTCCCACTCTGCATCATCTTCCACTTCTTCCCCTGGAGCAGGAGTATCTAGTTCTATTTCTCAACCTGGTGGATTACATCCTTTGGTCATCCCATCAGCTGTAGTTTCTACTCCTGTCCTTTCCCAAGCATCAGGACCTATTTCTACCCCTTTATTACCCCAAGGACCTAGCATCCCACCATTGGTGCAACCTGTTGCCAATGTGCCTGCTGTACAGCAGACACTAATTCATAGTCAGCCTCAACCAGCTTTGCTTCTCAACCAGCCCCATACGCACTGCCCTGAAATAGATGCTGATACACAACCCAAAGCTCCTGGGATTGATGACATAAAGACTCTAGAGGAAAAGTTGCGGTCTCTCTTTAGTGAACACAGCTCATCTGGCGCTCAACATGCCTCTGTTGCGCTGGAGACATCACTAGTAGTAGAGACCAGCGTCACACCAGGCATCCCAACCACTGCTGTTGCACCCAGCAAACTCATGACTTCAACTACAAGTACTTGCTTACCACCAACCAGTTTGCCATTAGGAACAGCTGGTTTGTCCATTACACCACTGGTCACAACTGGGCAAGTTTCTACCCCAGTCAGCACTACATCAGGAGTGAAACCTGGAACTGCTCCATCAAAGCTACCTTTAACTAAGGCTCCAGTAAGATTCTTGTTTTGAAATAATTTGATAAATATGATCACTCTTTTTCCCCCAATCAGTGTATTTTTTCAAGTCAGCTTTGCAAATTACAAATGAAGTTATAAAGATGCCTGGCTTATAATACATTGAACATGAGATATTTCTTTTGAAATATGGCAGGATTTTTGAGTTAATTATATTGCATAATTTTCTAAGAATTTAAATAATCAGCTAAAATTACATTTCTTCCTAATTGGTACAAACTGAAGAAATCTATCTCAAAAGGGAGCTAAATGCTTCTGTTGGCAATTATACATAGTAACAGCAGTTTACAGTCTTTGTTTCAATGAGAATGAAGTAAATTTTCTGTTTTGCTTAGATTCTACAGATGTACAATTGAGTTTTATAAAAATTTGGAAGTCGGTTTTAAATTTGATACAGAGGAGGAGACAGAATCTAATCCTAGGAATAAAATATCTAAAATGTGTTTTCGAATATGGTGAATTTGCTCTCATTCTGCCATCTTTAATCTCTCTGATCTCCAAGTAACAAGGCAGTATTTCTTTTTTTACTGTATTGTATGTTTCACTCAGCTTCATGCATTGCCATTGATGTGAGATTCTGTTTACAGTATATAGAGGCTTCACTTAAAAAAACAAATTGCTCGATAGTATTAGATTTCTGATGGCTTTTGTTATTAGAATGGCTCCTTGGTTATTTCTGAACTATTTTGTTTTCTCAGAAAAGTTTGTTTTAGGAAAAGCCTGATTATACTGCATGAATTCAGTGGTTCAAGAATATGCGTACTGTGCCTCTCATGTCCATACAGCCTTTGTTCTCTCTTTTTTTCTACATAATGAACCTTTTATTAAATTTCCTGTTCATTTTTATTGGTATGTCATAGCAACCCCTTAATAGTATCATGGTCGTAATGTCCTTTAATTAAGATAGATACCAGAGTGTGACCCAGGAGACAAGCATGCCTTAACTAGATACATGTTATTCTTATGCTTCTGCATTTGAATTAGTTGATTTGTTCTCCAGTATGCAGTATTTATTCTTAGTATCTTACGGACTTGAATTTCCTTTCATTGCCTATAGGTGCTGCCAGTGGGTACTGAACTTCCAGCTGGTACTCCATCCAGTGAGCAGCTGCCACCTATTCCAGGACCTTCACTAACTCAGGTGCCCCAAGACTTGGCAGATTTCTTTTTGTGACCCTACTTTCTTTTACTAAGCTTCTTTAAATTCTCCATCTTGGCTTCTGGCTTCTATTTGGTTTTGATATAGTAACAACTTTATTTTAAAATAGTATATTTGATGAGGCCCTACTTAAAGTAAGAAGCTTCACAGTTCTTTTGTTTGTAATATTGCTTCAAGTAATCTAGAAAACATTTAATATCAATATTTTTTTCACATCTCACAAAGGAAGAAAATAGCCTAGTTGACGTTTTGCCAACTCCTTCTCTCAGACTTTCATAGAATAGTGAAATTGCATCTTAAGTATGAGATAATTGGTTTTATGTCATTTTGGAAGTCAAAAATTGCATGTGAACAAAATGAACTTTGAAAGTTCCTTAGGAAAGGGTAACATTGATAACTGATAATGCCCTTTTCTATGAGTTCAGTGCAACCAGTTTTTTCTAGAATTTGACATTTCTTTCAGTGACCACCTAATGAAGTAATTGGCTTACATATATGTGGGTAGAAGGGGGATGTTTCATGAAAAAATATGTATTACATCTTTAAATACAAAAGTCATACAGCTTAGCTAATAGGAGAGTGATTACTCATAGGGTAACTGAGACCAGAGACATGAATATAAGATTCCTATCTCACACTCAGCTCTGCCTATTGGGTAGAAGGGTGGTCAGAATTGCCTTTCCCTTTCCCAGCCTATCCTACCACCCCACACATTTAGTTGAATTCCCATAGGAAGTACTCATTATGCATTCATTGTAACCATGAACAAGCTTCTGTTGTGGAACAAGCTAGTAAACATTGAAACTATATTAGGATTTATTTTAGAATTATAAGAAAAATAGGGTAAATTGCTAATTTGAAGAGTCTGAATTTAAAGTAATTAAATTCAGACTCTTTAATCCCAGATACACAGTAGAATATAAGTTAAGGAACTTGGTATAATAAAGTAATAACTCCAACAGAGAACCCGTTCCATCAACTGCTAAGTTCTGGGAAAAAGTGCATTGTGAAAGTCTGTAAATTAGCAGTTTTAAACCCATTTTCTTATTAAAAACATGTATTGAGATTCCTAATTGGACTCAAAGTGTGATGAGAAACAGCCAATAAGATGTGGAGGGCTTAAGGTGGGTGGATAGTGCCTACATATAGAGAGAGAAAACGTTAAGGTAAAGTCTTACCAACCTAGAACAGGTTGATAGAAGCCAAGATAAATATAGAATTAGAGACTGGCAAAGGGTAAAAGTTATGGCCTTGGGGTGGATGATAATAAAGGCCTAGTTAACAAGATGGAATATTGAGTCCTCCAGTTATTTCCTCCTTGCTGCCATCTATAGGATATAAGAGTATAAATTGTTAAGACCTGAAGAAAAAGAATAATATCCCTTGGTAGTGACAGAACATGTTAATGCCATCTTTTATTCATAAGGACAAAGTTCTCAGAAAGATGTACCAAACTGAAAAGAAAATAGGGAACATGGGATTCAGTTAATCTACCAATAGATCTTGATATATTTTTCGGAATATATCTTTAAGGAGAGGACAAATAGACAACTTTTCTATCACTTTAAGTAACACCAAACATAAAAGAAAGGAAAGAAAACTTAGAAACTGTAAAAACATGAATGTAACAATCTCCCTAAGGCTTGAGAGGTTGATGTGAAATTTTCGAGATTGGTAAATCAAGCAATATAAATTGAGCTTAGTATATTGAATTTTATATTCAGTTACTAGACAAATGTTATGTCACTCTAAGCACAAAACAGTATGTCCTATATAAATTGGCGCTCTATATAGTGGCTCTTAATATACCAAGGACCTGTACTTATTGTGGTTGTTTTTGTTCAGTCCCAGCAACCTCTGGAAGATCTTGATGCTCAGTTAAGAAGAGCACTTAGTCCAGAGGCTATTGCGGTGACATCCGCAGTTGGTGTAAGTTTTTAACGTCTTGACAAAATCTTCCCATAACCCTAATATATTCCTGGAACATAAACTGTAACCTGGACGTTATTAATAGCTTTAATACCTATTTAGTCTTTGCTTGTTCCAGCCAACAAAAATAAGACCAATTAATGAAAAATTAACACTGACCCAACAGTATAATATGGAAAAGATTTGATTTGAAAGATACTTTTCTTACCTCTGGTTAGAATTATACCACAGATGAGTCCTGTGGGTTTTATATTTATACTTTGAAGGAGGCTATACCCTAAAGTTTTAACTTCTTCCTTTTAGGCTTGTGACACAATAATGTTCTGATTGAAACTACTTTTCAGTAAATACTCAAGTTATAGTGAAGTATCCAGGAGAAAAAATTAAGAAAGCAGTATTAGAAGGGTTAAGGCTCAAAATTTTTTCTTAAAAATCTTTCTTTACATCAGACTTATTTTTAGGCAGTTAAAAAAAAAATTTCCTCAGACATAAGTGTTTCCTCACATATACTGTCTTTCTCTGCCGTTTATAAAGACCAGAGGAAAGGCAGCAGTACAAAACTTTAAGTGACCAAAGCTAAAGATTTTGTGGTATCTGTGTGTATGTGTTTTGCAGCCTGTGTCCGTGGTGGCTCCAGCGGCAGTTACAGAAGCAGGAGCACAGCCTCAGAAGGATGGTGAGAAGCATCCTTCTTCCTCTTATATTACTACTTCCAAACTTCCCTATAATTGATTTCAGAGTTTTCCATTTCAAAAACACATTCTTGAGAATGTAGGTGTATTTGAGACTATTTTAAAGTACATTTTTATGTATTTCATAACCGAGGAGCATTGATACTAATATCTAGAGCATGTTAATATTAGCAAATTAATGAATCTTTTATATTGCTTTTTCTTTTTTAAGGGGGAGCATGCAAAGGGTAATGCTAGTTTCCTTAGCATAAAACCCTTTGTTATTAGCTAGACCAGATCCTTGCTAAGAGAGGTGAGGAAATTCAATAAAAATTATCTTGCTGGTAACCTCGTGGCTTTTGTGACACTAAATATATAGAGATAAACTTGAATTGCATGGATGTTGGGAATACAAATATAAGATTTTAATTAGTTTAAAATATTATTTTATCTTTCTGGAACCTTTAAAATTGTCATGTCCATAAAATATAATCTCTTTATAGGCATATTTTCAACTTAATTTTGTAAAAATTAGCTATACCAGCAATTTAAATATTAGGACTTTTATCACCATGTGCTTAGTCATAAATTCATATCAACTACTGCTATTCTAAAGTTTTGTTGTGATTCTCTTTTTACCAAATCATCCAGTCCCATAGAACCTAGGAAGTTTAAAGCTTCTATTTTTTGTCATCTTTTACTTCAGAATCAGATTTATTCAAAAGTGAAAATAATTGTAAGCTATAATTACTCAACATGATTTTTGTATAGTATATGCTTAATATTAATTTTCTCTTTTTATAATATATCCATTCTCAGTACCACCTGACATAAATGTACTTCCCTGTATAACTATTAAGATTACCTAAATGCTCTTATTTCTTCCTGTCTTTCTTAAATGCTAAATTTCACTTAAAACCTCTCTAAATTAAAATATTTTCAAGAGAATTGGCTCTCTCGTTTTAAAAGAAGTGACTTAAAAATCACTGGAACAAGTTATAAAGACTAGAATGGACAAACTAAAAGGGAATGTAGAATACGAAAAAGGCAACCTTTCAAATCAGAGAAAAAATGATAGAATATTTCAATAAATGGTTTGGGATTACTGCACAGCCATCTGGAAAAAAGCAACGATAGATCGCTAGCCTATACCAAAATGAATTTCAAATGGATCAAAGATGAAAAATGATATCATAAAATAGTCCTGTAAGAAGACATAAAAAGGGATATTTTTCTTTTTTTTTTTAAACTGTCTTGGGCAGGATCAATAAACTTTCTGTAAAATAAATATTTTAGGCTTTGCTGGCCATATACAGTCTCTATGGCAACTACTCAGATCTGTTATAGCCCCAAATCAGCAATAGACAATACATAAATGAGTGAGTTTAGCTGTGTTCCAATAAAATTTATTTACAAAATGAAGCAGTAGGCTAAATTCGATCCATGAGTCATTGTTTGCTGATCCCTGATATAGAGAAAAGTATTACTATGTTTAATTCCCCTATCCAGAAGCAGTAATAGATTTAGAATATTCTACATGGAAAAAAATGTCATTAGATCAAAAGATAAATGAAAAAACTGGGAAATGTATGTGTGCATGTATTCATATCACAGAAAGGGCTATTTTTGCTAATATAAAGAGTTCCCATAAATTCTGCATGGCCTCCAAAATAATCAAAAGATAAAAAAGAAATTTAAACATGAAAATACTTAACTTCCTTCATTATAGCAAGAATGCACTACAAGTGAGAGCATTTCTCACTTTTCATTGGTAAATTCAGAAGTTTAATAACCACCAGCGACTTGATACAGCCCTCTTTGGAGATCAATTTAGTAATGTCTATCAGAGTTTTAAATTGAGATGATTCAGCACTTCCATTCTTAGGTATTTATTCCACAGATCTATATGAAAATATTTATTGGAGCATTTTTGTAATAGCAAGAAGTTAAAGTAACTTAAATATTCATCATTAAAAGCCTGGTTAAAGTGTACATTTTTTTTTTAATTTAGAGGATGCATACATACAGTACAGCACTATGCAACCATTAAAAAGAATGAGACTTTGATACAGTATGATCTCTAAATTATTTCGTTAAATGAAAATACCAGAATCAATATACTAGTTGTATAAAATAAGGAAATTGCTGGTATAGATCTACATTGTCTATAGAGAGAAACTCAAACAAGTGATTGTTCCTAGAGAGGAGGACCTAGGTGGCGTTAAAGTTGCTCAAAACTACTTATCAATCTGACACCTTCACTGCCCTGTTCTAGGATTTTGCCTGAGTGTTGCCTAACCAGTTTGCCATGGCTGGTTTTCATTTTAAAAGAGATCTTTAATATCCTAGGTAAAATCTCATTGTCCGCTTCATTTTTTTATGTCTTTGAGTTAAAAAATGAAGAATTGAGTTTTTGTAGTATCTCATGATTTTGAAGTTAAGCACAAAGCTGCTTTAGTTACACAGTAGTCCTTCCCTATCCGAGGGGCATGTGCTCTGAGACCTTCAGTGGATGCCTGAAACCATGGATAGTACCAAACACTATGTATACTGTGTTTTTTCTTATACATGCATACCTATGATAAAGTTTAATTTATAAATCAGGCACAGGACGAGATTAACAGTAACTAATAATAAAATAGGACAGTTAAAACAATATGCTATAATAAAAGTTATATGTTTGTTGTACTTGCACATGTGTACATGCTCTTTTCCCTCTCTGTCTCAAATATCTGGCATTAATTAGCATAAGTCACTGAAACCATGGAAAGTGAAACTGTGGATAAGGTGGGACTTCTGTATGTAATTTTTATTCCTTCAAACAATACCATATCAGCCACATCAAACATGTGTACAAGGAAGAGTAGAAGGTCAATGATAAATTTTCAGACTTTGACAATTTTTCATAAACAACATAGTCTTTCATACTAAAGGCATCTAGTAGGAGAGCAAACGATAACTGTTTCCCCTTGTTAGACAAAGCCTAAGGGGATGGGGAGGTAAGAGTTTGCTCATCTAATATGCAGTTTTATTTTGCTGTATTTCTGGCCAAAGGAAAAATAAGCTAGCTAAAAAGAGATGCTAATTTAAGTTCTCTTCTTCCTTCATGTATTTGTTTCAGTTTCTCAAGTCACAGAAGGTTCTGTCCCAGCAGCTAGTTCAGGAACTGGTGTTTTCAAGACGGGGCGATTTCAGGTGAGACCATCACTTTTTTCCTTGCCTTGATTCCCTGTTTTCCACAAATGTGTATTTAATAAAATCATTACCTGCCTTTTGAGACATAATTGCCAATTTGATGATATATTAGCACTTTATAGCTCTTATTATTTTCCCCCTCTTAAAAATAATACATGCTAGTTAAAGAAAATATAGAATACTTAGAAATAGAGAAACAATAGATAGTGATACAGTCTGCCCATCCTCTCACCTTCCCCATGATTACTTTTTGGGGTGTATTTCCATTCCTTTTCCTCTATACATGTATGTATCTAAAATTGACCCTACTTCTCCTCCAAATGATACTTGGTAGCTTTTTTTCTCCATCCAGTAGTTCATTTACCTAACCATTTTCCTATTGTTAGTTGCTTTTCATAATAAGTAAAGTACTAGTAAACATCTTTGTATATAAAAGTATTTTCCACATTTAGGATAATGTTAGGACTACTTTCTGAAGTAAAAATACTGAGTCAGCATCGAGTGATATCATATTTTATTTTCCCCATTGGCCCAACAAGTGAACATTTTCTGGCTCTTAGTACATAGTGCCAAACAAGCTCTGAAAATCATTTTTACTGCTTTCACAACAACTTTCCGATTATTCTCATGATAGCACTTGGAGTTGGGGATAGTAGATGATATTTTTCTTACTTGTAAACTGAGAGTTTGTAGCTGAGCTGAGTTTGTATTTATAACACCTGAACTAACTAGGGCAAGGACCTGGATCCTCCTTTTAGTACCACTTAGTTGTGTTGATTCTTGAAGCTTAGCTGGCATTTAACATTTATTGGATTTAATCTTTCTAGTTTTTTTTCTTATTCACAAGCAACCTTCAAGATTCCATGGCCAGTTGTTATTTATATTTTCACTAAAATTTGAGTCTGAGTCCTGTGCATTAAAGTAAGATATGAAAGTAAGTCATTTACTTAGTAAGCTTAGTCAGCCCACTCAGAATCTACATCTAATCTGTACATCTCAGTACAGATATGTTGTTCTCTATAATAGTATGCTATTTATTTTCACAGTCAAATATGGAGGAACTACGTAAACAGATAATCAGCCTATTTGCTGACTAGGAAATAAAGTGACTCCATTTTTTTTACAATTCATTCTAAAAATTGAATATTGTAGACTTTGTTTTTTAATCTCTTTGGTCTCTTCCATCAGGTTTCAGTTGCAATAGATGATTCCCAGAAAGAGGGTAAAAATAAGTCAGAAGATGCAAAGTCTGTTCATTTTGAATCCAGCACTTCAGAGTCCTCAGTGCTATCAAGTAGTAGTCCAGAGAGTACCCTGGTGAAGCCAGACTCTAATGGGGTAACCATCCATGGTATCTCTTCAGATATGCCACATAGTGCCCACAAAACTCCTGCCGCAGAAGCAAAGTCAGAAACTGGGCAACCTACCAAGGTTGGGCGTTTTCAGGTGACAACTACAGCAAACAAAGTAGGTCGTTTCTCTGTATCAAGAACTGAAGACAGGCTCACTGAGGCAAAGAAAGAGGGACCGACAGCATCTCCTCCTTTTATGGATTTGGAACAAGCTGTTCTTCCTGCTGCAATACCAAAGAAAGAAAAGCCTGAACTGTCAGAGCCTTCACATCTGAATGGGCCATCTTCTGATTTGGAGGCTGCCTTCCTAAGTAGGGATGTAGATGATGGTTCAGGTAGTCCACACTCCCCCCACCAACTGAGCTCAAAGAGCCTACCTATCCAGAATCTAAGTCAAAGCCTTAGTAACTCACTCAACTCCTCTTACATGAGTAGTGACAATGAGTCAGATATTGAAGATGAAGACTTAAAGTTAGAGCTGCGACGACTACGAGACAAGTAAGTACATTTTCTCCTGTAACAAAATAACAACAGAATTAAGACCTAACTCCTGGTGCCTAGATTAGTATTATTTTTCACTGCAATATGCGTATGTTTTATTTCTTTTAAAGAGAAGGGTGACATGCAAAAGCTAGTTTTCTGAATGTAGTTCTCATTAGGTCTCTTGTACTATAAGGACCCACAGCATTTCTTGTTGTAGAACTTGAACACCTTTGTATTATTGTTAGTACCGTATTATTTTTATTAATTGCACTTTTTATTATTATTAACCTAATCTTGGCTATTTACTAGTCTACCAAATGAATCCAGTGTAGATTATATTAACAGGTTTTGTTGATCACATCTGACAAACTGGATCAGAGTAACAAATTTAGTACTCTGGTGAATAGCCTCAAAAGTCAGGAAATCTTTTTCTCTTTACATATCATCAACCATTTTTTGTTGGCTAGGAGATTGTTGAATTTTGGCTTCGGTAGTGGAGGCCAGCAAGATGAGTCAACAAACTAGAATCTCAAGGTAGTAGAAATTAGATTAAGTACTACATTTGGGGCAAACATTTAAAAGTAAGTGAATACTTGAATGGCAGTGAAAAAATATGTTATTCTTTTTTGAATGACAATGGTTTTAATATTTTTGAATTATGTTTGGTTATCTTCCATAGACATCTTAAAGAGATTCAAGACCTACAGAGTCGCCAGAAGCATGAAATTGAATCTTTGTATACTAAACTGGGCAAGGTTCCTCCTGCTGTCATTATTCCCCCAGCGGCCCCCCTTTCAGGAAGAAGAAGGCGACCCACTAAAAGCAAAGGCAGCAAATCTAGTCGTATCAGTTCCTTGGGGAGTAAAAGCCCCCAGCTTTCAGGTAAAAAGCCCTGCACCAGATCAGCCATGGCTGTCCCATCTTTTGTTTCTGTCTCCAGCGGTATATATAACCTATTGAACATTTGTTGTTAAATTTCAAAGGAGTTTGACTATCCTAATATTCTTACTTCCTTGAATTTTCTACTCCCCATTTATAGTACCTCTTTTTTAGTCTATGGAAATAGCCTGAGTGAGTACAATGGGTTATTCCATTGTAATCTATAATTACTATCTACTGGTAGTTTTCATTTATAGTTGTTCTTAAGGATAAAACATTTAGCTTGCCTGGTAACTCATATAACCTTACATGTCCTCCCCCAAATTCTTGGGGAGTTGGAAGAAAATATTGATCTCTATCTACTTAGTAAAGATCAGGTAGGTTCTTCCTTTTAATGAATGAAATCATTCATTTTAATTGCAACTGGGATGAATATAAATTTCATATGGATATTTGGTTATGTCTTAAGTGGTAATTTCCTTGATTAATATTTTTATTTCATTTACCTATATTGGAATAAAGAACTTCCTAGTGGTTGTAATTTTTAAAAAAAGTTAAATCATAATCTCTTGTAATGAATTATTGTGATAAAGAATTTTTACCTTTTGGTGAAATTCTGGTAGTGGTAACAGATAATTAGTTGAAAAATGAAAAAGTCTGAAGTTTATACTCATATTTGCTCTGCAGGTCCAATATAAATAGTTTGGAGAGGAATGCAAACTTCTTAACCGCTTTGCATTCTCTGGAAGCTTTTAGAGACCCAGACTTTTCTCTACCACGTTAGAACTAATTCATTAGTAGAGATGTAATTATAAGAGATATCAGCTAATTCAGATTCTGATCCTAATTTTGACATATTTTTTTGGAGTGGACTTCTATTCCACAAGTTACGAGGGAACAGAGAAATTAGTCAATTTCAAGACACTTGACTAGTGATTGAAGGCCACCTACTAAGAATAATTTTAAATATGTGTAATTATAATCATGTGCATCATTTTTGACACCTCTTTTGTACTTGATCTGACACATGCTTACAAGAAAAACTAAGCAGAGACCGCTTACCAACCTCTTTGTGGTTGATCCAACACAATGTTTCGTAATGGGGTAAAAAATGCAGTTGTAGAATTGCAAAATGGAATTCTCTCATATCCACTACATACTCTAGTGTTACTTAGCTCAGATTTGAGAACCTTCTAGGTTATCTAAAGCTAAAAATCTCTTGGGATAGTTTCCAATAACCCTATCATCTGTTGATTCTCATATCATTCCTCACTTCCCCTCTTTTAGTTCATCAGTTATAGCTCTTGACCCATTATTAACCATTCATTGGGACAAATTGGAGGAATAAGGACAGTGCCTATTAAGTGTATTGGGAAAGCTGTACATGTTTCCTCATGCCACATTATCTTCTGGCAGGTAATATGTCTGGTCAGAGTGAAGCTTCAGTCTTACACCCCCAGCAGACCCTCCACCCTCCAGGCAACATCCCAGAAACTGGGCAGAATCAGTTGTTACAGCCCCTTAAGCCATCTCCCTCCAGTGACAACCTGTATTCAGCCTTCACCAGTGATGGTGCCATTTCAGTACCAAGCCTTTCTGCTCCAGGTCAAGGTAAGAAATCAAAGTGACCACCATTTTCCAAAAACATTAAAATGGCAATATTGCCATATCTGGAACAAAAGCCTGATGAGCAACCTATTGTTAAGGTGGGTTGGAAGACCAGCTGACCAGAACACAGCCTGTGTATTGTACACTTAAGGACCTTTGGGCTGAGAGGGGAAGTTGGGTGATTATATAGATGTACTTGCTGCTTCCATCAGGTGAAATAGCTTTTCTTCAAAGGATAACAGCAAAAAGTTACATCTGTGATCTATATGAGGCCTTGTCTAAATAAATGACTCACTTAGGATTTGAAACGTAAGCTTTAAGACTGTACTGAGATTTCCTGGACCAAATTCTAAGGAGTTTTAGCAGTTTCTAAAAGCTAATGCATTTGCTTAGCCAGTGTAGATTTTTTTAACTACTAAGTATGAGAGAAGCATACTAAGATGAATAGCCCTGCAATTCAATTATTATCTATAATCTCCTTTCCGAGTATAGAATTATTTATTACTGATCACTCAGACCATTCCGGTAGAGGAAAGAGCTTCTAACAACATTAGAACAAGAATTGAAAGGAGTTGGGTATCTGGGTAGAAACAAATGAAAGAAAATATAGCTAGCTAGTTTAGATGCTTTTGCTACAGTATCACCGTAATTAGAGATTAGATTGTCTCTGCAAAATGAGTATACTTGTTGATAGGAACACAAACTAGCTAGCATTATTCCCACTGGAAAAAGCTTCAGCATTTTGCAAATGGAGGGAATTGAGGCCTAATTTTCCTGCCTTACATTTCTGACCTTTCCCTAGAAGCTTGTTCTTCTGTGTGCCATCTTAGCTCATTTCACCACTCCAGCCTCAAGTTTCTAACATCTTGTAGTTGTGTTCTGTCTCTTCTCTCTCTGTTTTTCCGTTTCTTCCCTCTCACAGGCTGTGCGAAGTTTAACTGTGCATCAGAGCAGGTGACATTCAAACCTGGTGGCAGGAGGACCCGATTTCTGAGTACGCCCTGCTTGGCTCTTTGTGTGTAACACCTTTACTCCTTCCTTGTCCTTGTTTTTCTGCTGCTTGAATCTGATATTTCACGCAGTCCATTTTCATTTGTCTCTGTATATCATCGACTCAGCAGCCTGGCTGAACTACTGTTACCCTCAGAAGTTTGGGTCCTTGTGTAAGTTATGATAAAAAGGTGTAGAAATAATAGTAGATTTCTATAAATTTCAAAATAACTGGTAGAATTGCTTCTTCATAGAGCCATGACAGGATGGATGTGGTGTCAGGGCTATATAGATTGCTGAGTCATTTAGAATAATGAAGGCTGAACTCCATAGTCTATTGAGGACCGCACTTGCTTTGGCATTAGAAGTGACAGAAGGCATCTTGACCACTGATGCACTTAGATCCTGGAAGCAAGTAAAAGTTATACCCTATTTTTCTATTTTTCAGAGTAGTTTGGAATCATTTTTCTTGTCAATTAAGCCTGATCATCTATTAGTTGAAAAGATACTAGTATCTCTTCATTGGCTCCTTTCACCACCACTACATTCTAGCTTCATAAATTAGTAGTTCAAAAAGGGCTTCCATATAGTTAGTCTCATAAAGCATGTATTCTACTAAAGACCGAATCCTAACACCTGCACGTGAAAAAGGTTTATTTCACACGATTGCTGGGATTTCCCAGCTTTCTTCTTTAAAACAGGACATAATAGCAAGGGTTGTTGTACAAATCAAATAAAATCGTTTACATAAAAACAAGTAGCACTGGGGACACACACATCATTTCCCTCTGTTTAGCCCATGCCTTCCTGGCATATGGTAATTAATACATGTATATTGAAAAAAAAATTGAAAATCAAAATTGCCATATTTTTAAACTAGAAAACCTTTGTTGGACTTTGGATAGAGATCTTCTCTGTTAAGGCCTCAAACTTCTGATGTGGTTATTGAAGTGCTTTTTAAATGCATGTGCTAAAGCCATCACTGTTTCTGTGTATGCTTCAGAGGTCCTTGGGCCTCACATATCACTAGTCCAGAGCCATTTAACAAAGGAAGCGGAAGGCATTACCCAGTTTGGTAGTTTTCCAAGCATGTGTGGTTTTTAAGCACTCAAATCGATATCTTTTCTGGTGAAACTAGGCTGGACCAAGAGTATTAGCATTTTAATACTTAAATAAACATTTAACTTTATATGTCCAGCTAGAAATATAGACATTAATAGTAGGAGCAAGTGTTTTGAAGTAGAATGTGACACGTCGGGCCTTAGTTATACAGCCTGAAATGTCTAAGAGGGGATAAAGAGAACCAAGGCTTTTTTGTAAAGTCTAATGTGACAGGCACCACTTCAAATTAATTCAGTAAATTCTCATCACACTCTTAAAAGGTAGGTGGTATTACACTGTTCAAATTAAAGTGGTTGGAAATAGTAGATCTTACCACTTCCTTTTGGGTCTAAAATGAGAGGCCCTGTATCTGTTGGAGGCAAATCAGTATATATCATATAAGCCTTGGTGAACAAATCACAAGAGGCAGATTTAAAACAAGTATGGGAAAGAAACCAAGTGCTTGTAGAGGCGGCGGGGTCTTACTGGTTTCGGGTGCATTATTTTATGCCCTCAAAATAGATAATGGTTTGAAAGCACGGCTTGGCTTAATGCTTTATTTATGTTCAAAAGTTGCTCGTTTTCTATATACTTTTAAAGATCTTTCTGGAGGGGCGGGCATTGGTATGTATGTCTAAGACGTGGAAATATATTAGCCAGTTTAAATTAACTTAAAACTTAACAGTGGTACTATCTGCCTACTGTGGTAGAATTGCTAATGAATTGAATTGAGGCTTTTTAACAACCCAGCAGGAGAAACAGAAAGTGGGACAGGATCAGTGGAAAGACTGCTTGGGTATTTGAAATTCAAGCAGTGAGACCTGAGAGACTGGAATTCCCACCATCCCAGAATGTCAGAGCAGGGCATTACTCTTTAGATACAAAGACTGAGTGTGGAAACTCAGCTTCCGTCACCCAAGTACCACAGTCCATCCAATAACCGAGTTAAGTCTAACCAGTCTGTCTCCCCTCCTGCTTCTCTTGCTGGGACTTTGTGTGCTGTTTGGAGATTCTGAATATTTTACACTGATGTTTATCTTTAACACATTGCTCTCTCTTTGTGCTTCAGGGAAGATGGTGAAAAAAGTCTGTCCTTGCAACCAGCTTTGTAGTAATTATCTTTTCTCTCTGTTACCTTTGGACTTGATTGCAAAGCCTGTTATCCATGAGTTCTTTGAACCTTGAAGCCTCACAACTCCTGGATTTTCCAGTTCTCATCTGTCTAGTTCTGCACCCTTTTCTGACATATTATTTAACATGCTTAATTGCTGACCGCTGGCTATCCTTCCAGATTAAGAAATCACCTCATAGTCAAATGCTTTCAGCGATGACCCCCTGTGAGCCTACCCCTGTGACAGTTATGGCTCGATAAGCCATGGGTCACGTAGAGAGACCAAGAATTCCTGACTTCTTTGGGAAAGAATTCTTTAGTCAACAAATGTGTGCCAGCCACTCTTCTACCCACTGGAGAATGAGCGGTGGTCAAAGCATACAAAAAGTCCGTACTCTCTCATCTGCTAGATTGGTGAGGCAAGAAGCACAACTTTGTAGAGTTTGGCTTCTTAGACTGGTGGCTTCTCATTAAAGTGCAGACAGTTCAACAACCCTACAGACCACCTAGAGGGTCAACCAGAAAACTCTGTATTCGGGATACTGGGCACTAAGTCGTGACTACTGATAGGTTATTGTTACTAGGACCTGGAAGTGTGGGGGTGGAGAAAATTAAAAAAACAGATTTTTGGTGGTAAAGCATACACTACATTTTTACAGCTTTTCAGCAGAAATGAGAAGGGTTTGGAGGTTAGTACTCTGGAAGGCAAGCAGCATTCTCAGGAATATCTGTATTACAGGTATTCTTAAACATTTTATTACTAAAATGGACTAAATGCACTATGCATTCAACTAACTTTTATAGTCAAGTCATCTTTTCCCAGGGGTTCATTTCTGGTCAGAAGAGGGGTGGGGTGGTGGTGTTTGTTTCCTTCTTTAATGGGAAAGCCTGTTTCAGAAGCCAGAATAAGGTCACCTGTGTGGTGGACGCCCTTGTGGTATAAACTTACTTTCAGAATCCAGTATTCTATAATACACACAAATGAAAAATGAAATTTGGTTATAAAGGGGTCTCACAGCATAGCATGAAAGGTGACTAGCATGAGACTAGAGAGGTGTGACTCCCAGCACGAGCTCTTTGTGAATAAATGGTGTTCACCTCTGCAGAGCTTCTTGTATTTTGCTTTGGACGGCTCTGTTCACTTATGATTATTTCTGGGTTTTATCGTTTGTTTTGATTGTCTCACTGATCATCCAGCTCACCAAGCAGTAATCATTCAAACAGATGATAGTCCTCATGCATGCGATGTGCTTGCCTCCTGGATTTCATCATCACGACTGCCATCCTTGCTGCCTGTACTTCCCACTCCACCACTGTCTCACTCTTGCTATTCGAAGAAGGCTGTTTCCTTGCTTTTATACTTTCCACTTGGGTTTCCTGTACCTTAGGGGAACTTACTCTTCCCTTTACACTGTATGTGGCTCCAGCGGGCACCAAGAAGTGAGCTAATACACACACTGCCATAGTTCCATGTCTTGCCTTGGTGGTAGAAGCATGTGACCCTTCCTCACTCTGCAGCTGCACCTCAGAATTAGCTGTTATGTACTACAGACATGCTTGTGTGTGCCATTCCCCGGGTGGTGTGTTATAAACTTGAGACCAGCGATGGATTACAGTGGGTTTTTCAATAGCAGAGTTGCTTCAGGTGTGCTGCTGTGCTCTGGTGCTGCTTTGACCTTGAAAGCAGGAAAATGTGTGCGTTTATTTAACCCCAGCATTACTTGGATATCTTAAGGCCTAGTGGCTCAGAAGTTACTATTCTGCAGCAAACGTGAGATCTGGTAAGAAAGTGGGGGGTGAGGGTACAAAACAAGACCATGACTCTTCTTTCCCTCTTCCTTAAAACTTGCCTCTTCGAATAATCTTCAGTGTGCCCTCCAGCAGAGCCGAAATCAGGCAGGACACAGAATCCTTTCTTTCTCGTCAAACCATAGAAATAGAATCCCTTCATCATAGCCTCAAAGCTTCCTCCTCCCCTTTGCACCCCCGCCTCAGCTGAATGAATGTTCCTTTGCTTCCACATAAGAGTGCTTGCCCTTCTGGGAAGCGGGGGAAAGGGGTGAGAATCCTTGAACCAGTCAAACCTGAGGTCACCTTCAGGAAAAGCACATCTTCCTGGAGTTGAAAGATTCAGACACACGATAGAGAACCTTCCTCGTGAGTAATCTGGGTTCTTTACTCATAGGAAATTGGAAGCGGTTGAAGCCTTAATTCCTCCCCAGTTTATGTTTACAAATTCATGTTTATGGGTCCAGATGAAAAAGTTTTTTGAACAAAGCATGCTGTTGGACTTATCACCTCTTGCTGTTGAACAATGGCTGAAGATCGTGGCAGTATCCACATGGTTTGGAAACCCCATCTTTTCCTAGGCCAAGCTCCTATCTTTGCATTTCTGTAACTCCTACTTGAACCCTGCCCCAGTGCCCAAGAAATATCTTCTGTTACCTTGCATTATGCTACATTCTAGAGCAGCTAGCCTCACTGACTGTCTTACAGCTCCCTCGTCAGTGTGATGCTGAGAAAGGACATACTGGCAGTGAGCTTCAGTACTCTGAGATACTTTGTGAGTGGCTGAGAGCAGTTCCTGCCTTTTGTGCCTACCATTACTCTGAGTTGTTTGGCCTCAACCAGCAGTCCCTGAAGAGAATCTGGTTTCATGAGTGTTATCCCAAAACTTGGGCTAAATAAGACCATGGAACCTTCCTTTCTTGCATGGCTTCCCAACCCCATCCTCTCCCCATTCTGTGGCTTGCCATTCGTCATTCTGTAAAGTTTTTCTTCTTCCCGAAATTATAATCCAGACGCCTTTTAATGGTTATATTCTGTTGCTTTTTCTAACTCTAGGGACCAGCAGCACAAACACTGTCGGGGGAACAGTGAATAGCCAAGCTGCCCAGGCTCAGCCTCCTGCCATGACGTCCAGCAGGAAGGGCACGTTCACAGATGACCTGCACAAGTTGGTAGACAATTGGGCCCGAGATGCCATGAATCTTTCAGGCAGGAGAGGAAGCAAAGGACACATGAATTATGAGGTAAGCCTTCCCTTTTTGCCATTTTCCTAATCTTTCAGAGTATCACTTGGCGTGTCTGAATCAGAGACGATATAAACTATCTAGGCTAATATTTCATGCCATGACCTTCATTAGTAACTTATTAATTTTAACACTTTTAGAAAAACAAGACAAAAATCACCCAGGTACCCTTTTATTTTCCTTCCCTAAATCCTTAGCTATTAGTTCAGGTTTTTCTTCCCTTTTCCTTCAATACCCTGAATTGCACATGTGCGCGCGC